TATGGAAGTGGTTCTGTCACAGGGCGCAGGCCAACTTAACCTTGGCAATGCCTCCAACCTAGATGGAACCATTGTCTTCGTTATTGTTCGATTCCACTTGCGGAACCTTGTACCTATTATGCAAGGGCACCTGAGAAGGTGGGGCAGTCACAGAGGAGATTCGCCTGCTGCACTGGGCAGGAACTTGTCGCCATTCCCCCCACTATGTGCACTTCTATAATTACTCAGTGGTTAATTTTTAAAATAGCATTAAGCATTTCAAATCAACCTGACTGTTCCACATTAAGCTGATTACTAGTACAAAAATTATGCATTTAAGGTGGAAAAAACATTGTCCTGTGACACAGTGCCAAGCTCCTGAAACTAATCCATAGAGAAACATGGACAGCACAGACATGGAAGATAAGTTCAGTGTACTTTTTCACTCACTGTAGTTATTTCATAATTGGAGATGATTTTAAAAGAAATTGAATCATCCTTCATTCTTTTCCAATGATAAATGCATTAAAATTATAAAGGTTGTCCATTTGCATCTAGTCTGCTTCATATTCCAGATTAGTACACTTAATGTTTTAAAAACGTGTTCCAAGTGAATTGTTTGGATATTCCAAACAGCAGTACTTTCATAGTTCTCCCACACATGGAAACACAGATGTAGCTAAGATCAATTTCAATCTACTTGCTTTCCATGAATTCACTTTTCCCACCTATATGCAAATTTTACTTCAAAAGTTATGGTATACAATAAATACAGACTACTCGTTCTTACAAAATTAAGCTTTTTGGCAAGACAGTAAAGAAAATCCATCTAAAATATACTGTAGTATGAAAATAGATCAACTTGGGATTCTAAACAAGTTTTCTGAATATCTAGGAGAGAAAGCTGAAGTAGGCTACAACTTAAAACTGCAGCAGAGGAGATTGTTAATATGGGTTTTCATTTCTCCTACTTATTCTAAGAAAACACATATTTGTATTTCTTCCTAGAGGCCCTGCTCTCATTGATGTACTTAAATGTTTTAGTAATTCAAAATACACTGATTTCTCTTTACACCCCTACACATCATCACTGGTTGATTAGCACTGAAATGAAAAAGCTAGTAAATAATAAAATGCTAAATAGATGTTTTAGCAGCCACAAGAACAGCAACGTTTGTTTAAGTAAATTAATTCTCAATTTTCTTATCTCTCACAGTGCACTGGAGAAATGTGAAAGCAAACTGTAAGGTTTAGAACACAAATTGAGATACAAAGTGACACTCAGGGGCTAGCAGAAAGCACAATTCGAATACAGTTTCATTTCATACTAGGTGCTAAGTACACTAAGGAAATAAATGAAAGGAAATTCAGTTTTGAAAGATTCCTCTCAACTATCATTTGTTAAAAAAAAAAAATTAACTCCTAATAAAAAAACCACACTATGATCTGGACAGTAAACCCCAAAATGTTAGCTTGATAATACTCTACAGTATTATTATCTATAATATTATAGATAATATTATATTATATTATATTATTATTATATATAAGTATATATTATCTGTAATACTCTAGCAGTTGATTAATAATCACTGAGCACGGATATCAATGCTGTTAAATGAGAAAGAGGACCTCAGATAGCTTTACAGTCATTCATAGAATTAAAAAGAGATGCTATGTAAACCAAAATCTTTAAAATTAATTCATTACATATTAGCAGATAAAGCCAGCTCTTACTGTAACTAAAATAGCACATAACAAGGTCTATTTCATAACTCTTCACTTGGACACCACTCTTATCTAGAGCATTCTCAACCCCTTCATAATGCAGAGCATTTCATCCATACCCACATACTGTTCTTCCCTCCTCCCTTGTACCTCCAACATTGTCCTTCAAACAATGCAATGTCACTACTGCCTCATTCTGTCCTCTACGCCTGCAATACCGTAACATTTTCTTGAGAAAGTAGCACCTAGAAGAGTTAGAAAAAGGTATCTACCAAAAGATGAATGCTTAAAATACGTTTGAGCGTTTACTGTACTAGTCCCACCAGATGATCACATTAAGAACCAGTGTAACTTGTTAACTAATGTGCAAGACTGAATAAAAGACAGTAACTGGTACTTGAGTTCTACATCTGTCTACAGACAAAGACTCAAATTGTGGTGCTCTCCAACAAAGACATAATACACTTTCATTTAGATGATACATTTATTAAATTAGAATGAAAAAGTTAATGTACTTTAGAGTGCAAGAAACATATTGGACACTGGACCTCAATACAGAGAAACAATGTCTTCAGAATTATTACAGTGAAAAACATCCTCTGTACGGTATTACATATCAACTAAACAAGCAATAACATTTGTAAGGGAAAAAACATACAGTACCATCAGCAGATGCAAAGAGCAGTAGAGAAGAAAGTAGCAAGGATCTAGCTAGACAAAAAATGTTCCTACCTTTAGCAAGTTTAGGCTCTTGGCAGGACTCAAACTAGCACTAAGAGCACTAACTTTTAGCAGATGCCAGTCTTACACAACTGGCTTTGGCTCTAAGCTGCTTGAAGCTGTTGAGCAGAAGAGCAGCATCAAACACAGTATTATCCCATTAGCATTTTGTCAAAAGCTACAACCATAATGAGTGACAATTTATTTGTTTTAAATCAAGAAATAGACTTTCAGTTCCAATACCTGTATTTCACACACCCTAGAATAACTAAACACTCCCTGCCTTTTTTCATCTCTCCAACTCAAACCTGACAATGAACAGCTTGACTGAGAGGATATGTATGCTGAAAAGCTGAGTAGACTTATGATCAGTGTTTTGTTCTTTTTAACAAGATAAAGTAGCACATCTTGACATAAGAGTTTCAGCTATAATGCTTAATTAAATCAAGACAAAAAAGTCCCCAGAACAATATTTAAGTATTTAATATTCAGTGTAGCATGCTGAAATCCATCTACTGGCCATACTGCTCCTACAAATCCCACCTTCAACTCATATCTACCCTGTTTTGCATGACATTTGCCTAGAACAAAACAATAAAAAAAAAATAAAATCTAAGAACAGGAGCCTTCCTCAGAGGCCCAGAGCTTTATTTATGAATAAACCTGGCTAACCTAACATTCACACTTACCTCTCCTGGTGGTTCGGATTGAAAGGTGTTTATTCTGTGCTTAAAATTGAGCTGTAATAGGATGCAGTACAATTTACCAGCCATTAAATTGAACCATGACCACTTGCTTTTATAAAAAGCTGTATTATGGATCCCAACATTTTAATATAAAAATTTAAATATATACATTTTCCCTGAATTGTTCCATCCTTAGCAGTTCATGCTGTGTAAAAGTTAGAGCAAGGGACTCTTCCTGGAGATATCTAAGCATTAAATCCTTACCAAGATTTACCTTTTGGGTGACAATGTCACAAATCACTGTGCAATAAAGACCAAATGCCTCTACACCTACTCAGTCACAAAATTTACCATGATTGTAGGGAAGGGGCAAGACTAGTTTCTTGATAAACACCTGTTTTATTTTAGAAAATAAAAATGTGGTGATTCTACAACTAAAGGACACAGAAACCATAGCCTTGAAACTCATTATTGAAAAGCCAATCGGAGGACGTATAGACACTTATGCTTTCAATGGTAAATTTAAAATGGTAAGGGATTCATAACAAAACTTAAAATCATACATTATGAAAAAACAGCTTTAGAAGGTCAGAAACTGGGATGACTTTTGGTGCTGTATTTTAAAAGTTTCAGTATCACTTTTAATCATAAAAATAAATAAATATTCACACTCTACTGACAGTGCTAACTAAAGGCTTCTTCAATGGGCGGGGGGATAAAAATCAGCTTTTCGGCAGGTAATAAAGAAAATATTTTAAGCGTGGGACATGAAACAAAGTGTA